TAGACCCTGCCACTGGGGCCTTCGAGTGAGCCCCATGCGGGGCCACGAGCCGTGCGAGGGGTGCGCCCGCATGGGCGGTACCGCCATGGGGCCATGCCACTGGGGCCTTCGGTGGACCTCCATTTGAGACAACGAAACGTGTGAGGGGTACGCCCAAATGAGGCGGCGCAGCCACGTGGACCTTGATCCAGCATGGATCCTGGCACGTCGGCGGGCCTGGCGAAAGCATAAATGTATCCAAGAATTTAGGGTCTTGTCCGAGCCCATCGATATCCTCCTGCGTGAATGCATAATCTTCATCGCCACCCAGACTTATTCATGGTGAGACTCACGCACGCCCCGTTCGTGGCCGTTTTGCGGGGGTGCCTCAAGCGGTTTGCCTGTCTTCTGTCCCAACATCCTTGGCTACCAGAGCAGACTGTGAGGATGTCTCAGGCGGGGCGCTGGTTTCAGCCCCCCCTGACGGAAACCACCACGTGTTATTTCACTGTCCCATTCGCGGCCGTTTTGTGGAGATGTCTCAAGCGGTTTGCCTGTTTCCTGTCCCAACATCCTTCGCTGTCGGAGCAGATTTGGAGGATGTCTCAAGCGAGGCGTTCATTCTCACCCCCCATAGGGGGAACCGCCAGGGTTTATCTCACGGTCCCGTTCGGGGCCGTGTTGTTGGGATGTCTCAAGCGGTGTCCCTGTTATCTGTTCCAACAGCCTTCGCTTTCGGAACAGATTTGGAGGATGTCTCGAGCGTGGAATGGGAAGTGCGCGCGAATGAGGGGGGGAAGGGGCAATGCGGCGAGGAGGAGGAGGATGAGGCGGAAGGCGTGGATGACACGGGGAAAGGGAGGGGAGGGATAACGAGGGCGGTTGAGGGGGGCGAGGGAGTGGGAGAACACCAGGACGACGAAGGCGAAGGAGGATGAGAAGGAGGAGGAGGATAACAGGAGAAAAGGGGGGTAACGTGAGGAGGCAGGGGATTAATATGATGGCGAAGTGGGGTGACGGGGGGTAGAAGATAACAAAGAGGAGGGGTCATGCCGCATTCAATTTCCTCTGGCCCTTTCCGGCCGTTTTGCTGCGATTTGGGCGGTTCTTCGGGTGGTGCCGAGCGCTCTAATACCCAGAAGGGCGAGAGCGTGACGTTCCTTTTCTTTTTCTTGTGTCTGATCAGTTTGATGGCGCCCGAAAAGCATCCTCGCTGACAGCGCGCGGTATTTTTTGGGAGCTCTTGGATTGTCCTCGGGTTGGTGTGAATCATTTTGGGCCGCATGGGCCGTCGCATCGTGATTGTCTCTATGAAAAATGATCACCTTCAGCGGTGTCGGCCGTCGTTGGGGGCAGTGTGCGCCGCCATGGCAGTTCGCATCAATGCAGAGGACGTTTGAATGACATAGGGCCGATGGGGGGGGGGGGACGGCATATTTGGGAGCAGTTGCGACGATTGGTATGGCCGGGCCGCCCTCATTCTAAATATGCGACGTGCTCGTTTTCTTTGTTTCTTCCAGGGCGTGCTGTCAGCAGGGGGAACGCCGCGCGCCTGGATGCCCCGATGGGAGCTCACGGATTGGATTTTACAGTGCGACGGTGGCCCCAGTCCGTTATCACCGCGTGATGTTCGCCCCGCGCGGATGGCGTTGCATGTCAGACGGGTAATCCCCATCGAGGGTTTGGTGCAGTTTGCATGTTCGCCATATCCTAAGATGGTTTTTTGTTATTACGTGGACGCCTCCTACTCCTTCTCACTCTTCTCCTGCCCTCTCCTCCTCATGCCCCGACTTACTCATATACAGACTGACTCACACTCAGACTAACTCAGACACATATTCACACACAAATACCTACTCATACTCATACCTACTCATACTCAGACCTGCTCCGACTCAGACTTACTCATGCTGAGACTCACGCGCGCCCCGTTCGCGGTCGTTTCGTGGGGATGCCTCAAGCGGTTTGCTTGTTTTCTGTCCCAGCATATTTCGCTATCGGAGCTGATTTAGAGGATGTCTCGAGCGAGGCGCTAATTTTCACCCCCCTTAGGGGAGCAACCAATGGTTATCTCACGGTCCCCTTCGCGGCCGTTCTGTGGGGATGTCTCCAGCGGCTTGCCTGTTTTCTGTTTCAACATCCTTCGCTTTCGGAGCAGATTTGGAGGATGTCTAGAGCGAGGCGCTCATTTTCACGTCCCTAAGGAGCCGCCGAGGGGTTATCTCACGGTCCCGTTCGCGGCCGTTTTGTGGGGATGTCTCAAGCGGGTTTGCCTGTTAGTTGTGCCGACATCATTCGCTTCCGGAGCAGATTTGGAGGATGTCTCGAGCGAGGCGCTCATTGTCACCCCCCTAAGGGGATTCAAATATTCACTGCGTGGGGCTCCCCATATGCGCATTTATTCCCATGGACCTGTCCGCCGTGAGAATCTAGGCGCAAAAACTTTCGAGTATAAACGGGTTTCAGTTGTGACGGTCTGGTCATGAATCTAACTGAGAATCAATTGGAGTGTGAATGAGCCTCAGTAGTACGAGCGCGTCTCTGCGCATGTCCCTGGGTCCTCCTGGGGCCTCCTGGGGCCTCCTGGGGACCTACTGGGGCTTCTTGGGGCCTCCAGGAGCCTCTTTGGGCCCCCTGGGGCCTCCTGGGACCTCCTAGGGAGGATTCGTGCCCGAGGAGAGGCCCAATCTATAGCAACAGTCGTACATAAAACATTGCGACTTGGAGCCGCAGAAAAAAAAGGGACAATCTATAGGAACACGCGTACAACACCAAGGAGTCGTGCCCTAGGAGAGGCCCTATAGGAACATAAGTACACAGGATATGGACAATCTATAGAAACATACGTATAACATCAAGGATTCGTGCCCCAGGTGAGGCCCAATATATGAGAGCATACGTAAAACACATGGGATTGGAACCACCCCTGTTGCCTTCTGAGGCCTCCTGCTCCTGGGGCCTCTCGGGGCCTCCTGTTGCCCTCCGGAGACCTCCTGGCGCTTCCTCTGGCCTCCTGGGGCCTCCTGTGGCTTCCTGAAGCCTCCAGGAGCTTCCTGGGGCCTCCTAGAGCCTCTTGGGGCATCCTGTGGCCTCTTGGGTCTTTCTGTGGCATCCTGATTCATCCTGGGACCTCATGTGGTCTCCACGGGCCTCCTGGAACCTGTTGGAGCCTCCTGTGGCATCCCCAGGAAAACCAGCGCCCACGAGTCTGGCCACCGATCGAGACATCCTCAAAATCTGGCCCACCTGGGGGGGTGAAGTGGAGCGCCTCGCTCGAGACATCCTCCAAATCTACTCCGAGAGCGAAGGATGCTGGGACAGAAAACAAGCACACCGCTTGAGACATCCCCACAAAACGGCTGCGAACGGGACCGTGAGAGAACCATTGGCGGCTCCCCTTAAGGTGGTGAATATGAGCGCCCCCCGCCAGTCCTCCTGCCAAGGGAACCTGGCTGTGGTTTTCGGCGACGCACCAGCGCCCTTGGCTAACAGCGTTGCAACGCACGCGCTGCATTACGCGGAAGTAGTAAGATGATATGTTTCTGACCTGATGCGTGGGCGCGCACGGCGCGGGCCTACATGGCGCGTCGAAGGCGCCTGACACACGCCCGCGATACTATTCACGACCGAAATCGGAAAATTAGCTCCGGCGGCGCACATGCGGTGGGACACGCGTGCGTTCGGCATCACCCGCGCGAGGTGGCTAACAATTTCGCGGCGTTGCGCTAAAAATGCCATTGTGCCCAACATCGTTTCGAAGCGCGCTGCGGTGCGCCGCGCAAGCGCGCGTGGACTGCGGCCTGCGTGCGGCCCGCGCACTAGTACGAGCGATTGAATCTGAAAGGGCCAGGCGCGGCACGTGCGCCATGAAAACGCGGCACACGGCAAAAGCAGTTACGAGAAGGAAACTCGCGCGATTCGCGTGCCTCCGTCGACCGAAATCGCTAAATCAGGGCAAGCGATCGGCGACGACCGCGTTTGACGCCACCAATAAATACATGAAAAAATGCAAAAACAAATTTGTCGAGGCCCTCGTTTTGTTTCCTGGTGGGCGCAACACCTGAGGATTTACATCTTGATGCTGGGGGGAGCAAACACCCCAGACATTCTCGTGTTTTGAGCAACAACAAAAAACGCGGCAGACAATGTTGGGCAATGTTCGGCCCGGGGGGCCCCTCGCCAGTCCCTGGGACCGTCATTTAACGACCCAAGATGAGAAACCGTCCATCGGATGTCTGTGGCAGTATCAACGGCTCGGCTATGCGAGAGAGTGACCCTAGGTACGAGTGACCTTCGATGCGCGCCTTTCGGGGGTGCACGCGGGGGCCGAACCCAGCCGTGCAAGCCGCTGATATCGAAACGCATTCAACGATCGAAGGAACCCAGCGGGCCCGCACCAGAGGTCACTCCGGCTACGGGTCATCCTTGCCCGTCGGTCGGACGAAGTGGGTGGAAACATGAAGTAGGACGGCGTTGGAAGTAGATTGGGCTTCCGCCCGCCCCCTGAAGAGGAGGGAAGAGGGAAAACCGCTTGCACCTTGAAGTAGGAAGGCGCCCACGGTATGTCAGAATCAGAGAATCCAGCAATACCTACTTCCAAAGACTTTTTTGAATCGCGGGTCGAGAGCGCACCTCTTCCGGTCGAAGCTAAGCGGGCCGCGCGAAGCTTGCGAAGACCAACTTCCAGAGACGGGCGTGTGCGTGTAGCCAAAATACGCGCCGCCGTGGGGCGCCCATCGGCGTGCCACTGCCCCAAAACTACACGCAGCAGACCGCCGGGCCGAGGCGAGGAAGCGGCACGCTGGACGGGCTCCCAGCGGCGGCGTACGGTCGGACCTAGGACATGCGGACATCCTTCAGTCACATGAATTTTTTTAGGGCGCCAAGCTGACGTCCGTTCGAAAGTACCCACTGCCAGGATGCATGAGAACGTCCAACAGACACGGAGAGCAGCCCCGCACCGACCTCGATCTCATCACCCCGGTCCGGCCGTGCCGCTGGTGCTCTTCTTCCCTCCCCGCCTGCGCACGATGCCGAACTCGTGGGCCGTGTCCTGAGCTGCCAAGAGGGACAGCAAGCAGTAGCAGGGGACTGGCGGTCAGCCACTCTCTGCACGCTCCCGGGCGGGGTGGGCTGTCGGGCGCCCGTCGGCGATCCATGGGCGATTGGGGGTCGACGCGTTACCCCCTCAGCCCAAACTGCCGCAGTCGTTGCCCCCCTCGGCTGCCCGGCTGCCGTCCGGGGCGATCCGGGGCACCCCCGCAACGTCCTCGGCAAGGCGCAGCTGCCGGAAATCACCCCGAGTCTCGAAACCTCAGAGAAGCCACGGTCACTCCCGAAAACTTCACACCCCGAGCCCCAGCAGACGATGGGCGACTTCGGTGCCCCGTCCTCCAGTAGGCAATGCATGGACGATCCGGGGTCGATGCATCTCAACCTGAGCCTATCTGCCCCCTGCAGTCGGACCTTAGCCAGAAGAACCTGCTTCAAGAACATGAGACCCTCAGCCGGCCAAAACAAACAGAACATCCAAGGACGCCCTCCCCAGGATGCACAATAACCTCCCACAATCACGAACAGCACAAGGGTACCCTCTCCGAACCGACCTCGTTCTTACACCTCGGTCCGATTGTATCGTTGCCCCTAGGGGTGAGGGCCGGCGCCGGTCGGAGGCCTGTCGAGGACGGCTGGGCGGGTCAGAGCGCGCAGCGACAGCATAAGAAAGGCGCAGCACAGGACGGAACGAATAGGAGAGGCAGGATGAGGCGGAGGAGAATAATACATATGAACGCCACAAGCATAGCCCCTAAAGCCCGCGCAGCGCAAGCAAGAAGAGAGGATAATCGAAGAGGAGGAGGCGAAGGTGAAGAAACAAAACAGAAAGAGAAGAGTATGAGTGCAGGTGGAGGAGAAGAAGGAAAAAGAGAGGCGGAGGACGAGGAGACGCCCATAGAGAGGGAGGAGGAGGGGAAGGAGGAGGAGGAGGAGGACGAGGAGGAGGACGAGGAGGGAGTGGAAGAGGAGGAGGAGGAGGAGGAGGAGAAAGTGGAGGAGGAGAAAGTGGAGGAGGAGAAGGAGGAGAGGAGAGGGGGACGACGACGACAGGATGCCGCGGCTGGAGAGGCCGAGCACTCTCAGACAAAGGGTGGCGAGCACGAGGAGCTCTTGCAGGAGGAGCGCGCGAGGGCCCCGGGGGGCCACGGCCTCGGAGATCGCCAGGAGGGGGGCTGTCCGCGGACGCACTCAGCTTGGGGGAGGACGATGTTATGACGCGGTTGTGGCGGCCCCTCCTCCTCCCCCTGCTCCTCTAGCTCCTCACTCTCATCCTCATTCTCCTCCTCCTCCTGCAACAGCTCCTCCTTCTCCTCCTCCTCCTCCTCCTCCTCCTGCTCCCTCCTTCTCCTCCCCATCCTCCCTTTGATGACGCTGTGCCTCCTCCTTCTCCTCCTCCTCCTACTCCTCCTCCTCCTCCTCCTCATCCTCCTCTTCCTCTCCTCCTCCTCCCCCCCCCCTCCTCCTCCTCTCCTCCTCCTCCTCCTCCTCCTCCACTTCCTCCTCCTCCTCCTCCACCTCCTCCTCCTCCTCCTCCTCCAAACCGCGCGGTTGGCTCAGGATGTGATTCAGGGATTCGGGAGCATCTAGCAGCCTCGTGCCCAGGGAATCCTGCAAATCTTAAATTATCTGACCTGGGCGTGTCCACGAGCGGGGCACGGCGCGGCGCGTGCGGATTGATCACATCATATCCGTAACACGCCCGCAGGCCCGCAGAAATATCCCCACGCGCAGTGGGCTCTCGAACAGGGAGTGGGCAAGGGAGGGGGAGCGGGGAGGAGGACGAGGTGGAAGGCGAGGGCAGGCGGAGGACGAGGGTGGGGGAGGGGAATGGGGCGCCGGGAAGGGGGCGGCTCATCATGCCATCGCTCGGACGTCCATTCCCGTTTTTTTCCTGCCAGGTGATCCACCAAGTTGATCTTCGGGGGCCCTCGCCGGGGAAGAATGCACGTGTCCGAGCGATGCCAAGTCATGAGCCACCTGATTGTGCCCGCCTGGCGCCCTCGAACGTGTACGGTCGGGGCTGCGGCAGAGAAAACAAACGCCCGATGCAGCCAAGCTTCCGAGATGGCATGGGGGCTCCGCGGTAGCTCTGAGGCTCCGCACCGGGGAAGGGGAGCAGGGAGGCGGAAGGGGAGGAGAGCAGGAGGGGAGGGACAACGGGCGAGGGACCCGGACGGAGGGAGGAGGGGGCCAGAGGAGGAGAGGACGACCCACCAGGCAGTTGGGTTGGTCAGATTTTGAGAACTGTTTCTTTCCTTTCTACCCACACACAGAGGCGGTGCCCAAAGAAGAAGCCGGCCTCGAAGTGGTTAGATGTTAAGGAAGGTGCTCCCGTCCCGCCCCGCCCGCCCCGCACGCCGCGGCCGCCAGGTCCCAAGGCTCGCGCCGTGTGCATGCGGCCAACAGGCACCGGAGGTCCCCGAAAGCCGACTGACGCCATACAGTCAAACCATATGAGAAGGACGCACGACCCATGATATTGAAGCGAAGCGATTTTTCCGAACCTCTGCGCGTAGGCACTTTGCGAGTCGTGGAGCGTGCTCGGTGAAATAAGGATGCACGACAAGGCTGCAGGGGCCTCGGAAGGCCGTGTCGACACTCTGCGATCGGGGCGCGGCCAGCGGAGGTGGCCAAGGATGGACCGATGAGGTAAGGATGCAACTTACCAGTGTCGAACGTATCCCTATCCCTAAGATTGACACGCCAAAAGGCGATGCCAATCTTAGGGATTCGCCCTCCCAAAAAGGGAATCCCTAAGATATGCATCGTGATGAGGAGATGCCCAGCACGAGGATAAGGATATGTTCCAGGCTGGTAAGCAAGGAGACCCTTGGGAATGGTACCCAACCTTACGATACGGGCTGGTTGTAGTGGGCCAGCATGAAGCACAGGTGTAGTTCACAGACAACCCCGCCAGGGAGGCGGCACGGCGTCACGCCACCCAGGCGTCACGACGCCACGCCGTCCACGGCCTTCTGCAACAAATGTCGGACACGCACGACACACAGCAGCACACTTTTTTTGATATGCAGGGCGCGAGCGAACCTCTGCCGCTGAAAGCTAAGCGGGACGCGCACAGCTTTTATTAGCAGAGAAAGGGCGGAAGAAGGCGGGGCCGCACGCGGCCAGGAGCGGACGAAGCCCAGGGATCAGGCGGTGCCGAAGTGGACGTGCAGGAAAAAGGTACACCTTGGACAGGAGCCTGGTGGTGAAGTCCCGGGAGGAAAAAAGCCGGTGGTGTAGCCGTCAGCGGCGCTTCGAAAACACCAGCCTCACAAACTGCGGGAAAGAACGCGCCACTTGACCAGGTCGACGTCGGAGAGGAAGAAGAGCACCACGGAATTGGAGTGCAACCTTGTGCCACCAAAGTGATGTCAGGAGTACCAGTCGTGGTAGTCCACTCTACGGACTTGGGGGCCCGCAGCCTGAGGCGCGGCAGCCAGGCAAACCGTGAACTTGCCGCCGATGACCGACAGGACGCCGGTGCGCTGCAGGGAGAAAGTCTGCCCTGCGCCGGCAAGCGCGTGATCACGGGAGGAAGCCACACACGATGCGCTGCCGATCCGCAGTGTCAAAGGCCGGGCCTGAGCCGCGCAGCGCCAAAATCAGCGGGGCCGCCGAAGCGGCAAGGAGCAGGCGCCCGGCACCGGGCCGGAGCCGCGCAGTGCCGGGCGCTGTCGTCATGGGAGGGGGAGTAGCGAGCGGGGGGTCCCCCAGCCTTCCGTACCGCTTCTGCGGGGAAAACCTTGGGCGCGACTGCCACTGCTTGGCATGCTGCTTTCACAACCTGGCTCCCCAGCAACGACTTCAGCACAGAGTCGTTCGCCAACTTGCTGGCTTGGGTCAGCAGGCTCTCCACGGTGGGCTTGGTTGACAGGGCACCTGTCAATTGAGGGCCCGCTGCCGCCCCCGTCCCGCCCTTGGCTTTGTAGATCTTCACCTGCCTGTTGCACTTCCTGCAGCTTTTGTCACGAGCAGCCGCCAACATGACGTCGTTGAACTCACTGGCCACAGCCCCCGCACTCGCCCCAAAGACGGCAAATCATCGCTGGGCACTTCTGTTTTGGTCTACGCTTGCAGCCGCCTCCGACGGTTCGGCCACAGCGCAGTGCCGCAAACACCTCGCGCAGGCACAGAAGGGAGACTCGCCAAAACGGACTGGGCCTCACTTTTTTCAGGAGAAGAGGAAGAGGAGGAGGAAGAGGAGGAGGAGGAGGAGCACCAGTGTACACCCAAAAATCATCAACGATGCTGGAGTAAACTTTCCCTCCGAGCTCTGGCTTCGGATGCCCCATACACCGTTTCATTTCCATTGAGGGAGCTGCCTCGCTGGAAGACACCCGTTTGAAGACCCTGAAACATGCCAAAACATTGCTCTCGGGCTTCCAACGCCACGGATAAACCTGAGCGTTGCGTCTTGACGGTCCTGACTCGTGCCAAAACGCCGTTGCTAGAACTTCAATAAACAAGAAATCAACGTAACTGTTGCGCCCACATAAACCTGAATCCTTCCAAAACGCCACTTCTGGACCGTTGATGATGGGAACCCGTGAAACTCTTGAAAATTAAATAAACAAATGTACGCGGCGTTTGAAGCGAGAACCGCATTTTGAAAAGGAGCCGCCCTCAATCCGTGAAGCTCCTGCAAAGTTTGAAAAGGAATGTGCGCCACGCTAAGGGCTTATGAAACTCCTGCAAATTTTGACAACGAATACGCCCTCCGCTAAAGCGAGAGCCACATTTCGAAAACGACCCGCCCTCAATCCGTGAAGCTCCTGCGAATTTTGAAAACGAATGTGCCCTCCGCTAAAGCGAGAACCACATTTCGAAAACGACCCGCCATCAATCCGAAAAACTCGTCAAATTTTGAAAGCGATTGTGCGCGGCGCTATAGCGAGAGCCATATGTTGAAAACGAATCGCCTTCACTCCGTGAAACACTTGCAAAGTTTGAGAATGAGTGTGCGCGGCGCTGAGGCGAGAGGCCATATTTTGAAAACGACCCGCCCTCCATGTGCGAAGCTGTTGCCAATTTGAAAGTTAGAAGAGTCATAAGTGGTGAGGAGGTTTCAAGCGAAACGCCGCCCCGCCCAAAAAACTGGCTTCGGGGTGCGACAGGAGGAGGAGGAGGAGGAGGAGGAGGAGGAGGAGGAGGAGGAGGAGGAGGAGAGGACAAGAGCAGGCGCTGGAGGAGGAGGAGCTGGAGGAGGAGGAGCTGGAGGAGCGGCCCTGGGCAGAGGGCGTCCGGAAAGTAGACGTGGGCGGCGATGAGCCGCCGCCCCGGCGTGTGCGGCGGCCGCGCCGCATGCGCGCCCGCGAGCGCACAGCGGAGGAGCGCTGGCGGATCCTGGCGGCGGCCGGCAGCGGGCGGGGAAGAACAGACCACGCAGGCACGGCAGTTTTGCGCGTCGTCGGCGCGCGCAGACGTTTTGACACCGCGTCGATCGTTCAACCTTGAACCGATCGCGGCCTCGATCGTTCAAAAAATGAATTCCGTCGGGTCCAATGGAGTTACCGTGTCCATCGGTGCTTCCGTGTCGCAGAATCCAACCTTGAACGCCTTCGCCAGCGTCGCCGGCGCGCCAGCGCCGCATGAACCTAACGCAATCGAAAAACGTGCAACCAAAGAAATCGACTCACAGAGCACAGGTCACACCCCCACCCCCTCTCACTGTGAAGAAATAACACCAGAAGGCTGTTGGTAGTTTTCGGCCTCCAAGGGCCCTCACTCGGCCCCCGTGGGCGTCAAAAACAACTCGGGATGAAACAGCGGTCCCGGCGAAGGGGTCTGAACCTCTGGGCACCTATGAGGACTCCATCTTCGAGGCTGCGAGACGGGCGAGGCAGCTTCGTTTCCAGCAGCGTGCGCGGCAAGCACATCTTGACGTGTGTGAGAAGCGGATGTGGTCAGTCAGGCGCTTTTGCTCGGCATGCCATGAGCCAGCGGCACGCTGTGCCCTGCGAGAGACAAGCATGCCGCTCCTATCCTGGACCCCAGAGCTCTGGACCCCTTCCCAGGGCCCGGCTTTTCATCCTGGGTCGTGTCTTGACGGTCCCGCCAGTAAGAGCCCCTGCAGGCATACAGTGGGGGCCAGTCCACAAGAAACCTTCCACAAGAAACCCAACCCTGAGACCCTAGGATGCCCATTGATTTTTGGTGTGGGGGCGTCACGCTTCCCACAGCAAAACCATCGAAACCCAAGAAACGCAGGGCACACTGGAGGCAAGCAGGATGTTTCTTGGCATGGGCCCCCACTATAAAACGTATAGGTTGAAGAAGGCTCCAACCATGTTTCTGTTCCTGCCCCGAAGGGGTCTGAGCTCCGCGGCGGCGGCCGGCACGGAGAAGATAGAGCCGCGGACCGGGCCGCATATCGCGGGTGCACTGGCGATGCGGCGCGGCCCTCTGGCGCTAATTGCTCTGGCCGCGCTCGGGGAGCATGGGTCCCTGTGCCGCCCCCTCCCCCTCCTTCCTCGTCGCACCTATTTCGCGCATGCCTTCTTTCGAGCATGCTAACCCGTCGGTCGCAAGAAGTGGGTAGAAGCATGAAGAAGGAAGGGGTTGAAGGTAGATTGGGCTCCCGCCCGCACCCTGAATAGGAAGGCGCCTAAGATAGGTTAGGACCTAGGCATCCCAAAATACACAATTTCAACGACCGACGTGTGCTAAGCCTGCTCTCTTGTGCGCGCATGCTTTCTGGCCTGGCTCTCTCGACTGTCGGTAGCTCGCCTCCCAGGGGCAGGGAGGCCAGCCCAAGCATCGATCACGGGACAACTCCCATGACATCGTCCGACCGACCGTCGCACCCTGCACCCCCATCCCTCCTTAACACGAAGCCAGGGCGAGGATCACATCTGGTTCGGATGAGCCGAGATTCTCTGAGATCCGACGGCTCGGGAGGATGTTTCGGGCGCCGCGGCCCTCTCAGAGCGCTGCTGAACGCTCTGAGAACGTTATGAAACGCTCCGGTACTAATTATCCCTCGTCCTGGCCCCTGGGGGAAAAGGAAGGGGAGGGGGAGGGGGAGGGGGAGGAGGAGGAGGAGGAGGAGGAGGAGGAGGAGGAGGAGGAGGAGGAGGAGGAGGAGGAGGAGGATCAGGAGGAGGAGGGAGGAGGAGGATCAGGAGGAGGAGGAGGAGGAGGAGGAGGAGGAGGGGAGGAGGAGGATCAGGAGGAGGAGGAGGAGGAGGAGGAGGAGGAGGTGGAGGTGGCCCCGCCCGCCTTCCCCCCCCCCCTCCCCCCCTGCCGAATCGGACAGCTCGGCGTGCATCCGAGCTTCCGGCGGGGCCCGCGCGGAGGCCCAGACCCCCCGGAAGCGCCGCGACATCTCCACGGCGAAGGCCCTGCGGAGGCCTGGACCCCTCTCCCGGGAGACCGCTGCGTCGCCCTGAAGCGTTTTCTCACGCCCTCGGGTTAAGTCGTCGGCCTGTCCCTCATACAGGCGGATCTTCGACGAAAAAGAACAAACAGTCAAAGCAGTCGAACAATATTCCGAAATGGTCAACAAAAATACTAACAAAAAAAAGTCCCAAGACTACTGTTTGCCAAGTTTTTCCAATTTTCCCCCTGCAGAGGGACAGGCCCGACTCAATCTTACGCCCTCGGGGCCCGGCAGGGGCCTCGGAGCTCGAAGCGGGCGGCGCGCCCAGGGGAGGGGGGGGGGGGGGAGAGTACAGGGAGGCCTCCTCAAAGGCGTCGGCGCTTCGCAGAAGCCCTCTGGCCTTCTGAGAGGCCGTCGGCGTCTCCAGGGAAGGCTCCGATCAGTCTGTCCGTGTCTCCCGGGGAAGGCTCCGACGCTTCGGCAACTTCTGGGGGACTTCTGAGCTGCTGCGAAGGCCCGCCCCGTCTCCCCTCCCTCCCCCCTCCCCTCCCTCCCCCGTGGCGTCTCTTGTCACGGCGCGAGGGGGTCCGGACATCGTGGATCGGCACCGGGCCCCTCCCTGGCGCACGACTTGCTCTTCGGCGGCGCCTGAGGAGCTGCCAAAGGGGGGGCAGCGGCAGCTGGCAGCAGGCGCGGGTCGGCAGCGAAGCGTGCGGCGCAACAGTCGGAGGAGAGCCACTCGAGACATCCTGTTTGGGCCTCCTGAAGGCCTCTCGCCGCCACGGCTGGATCCGCCCGGCAAAACGTGCCAGGATGGACCCCAGGAAGGTTTCGGGGGCCACATATCAGATCACGAACTAAAGACTGCATCGTCACTCCACCCAGTCTCCCCGCGTCGTGAAAACACACACCACGGACACGCGCTCGAGATCTTCGGCCTCCAGGCCTCTGGGGCCCTCGCTGGTGCCTGGGGCCATCAAGGAACGAACAACTGGCGCTGAGGGAGGGGCCGATGCGGCTGGGGGAGCCACTCTGTGGCAAAATCCGCTGACCCCTTGTGGGTCTCCAGGCGTGTGAGGTAGTTTCCCCCCCCATGCCCCCCCCCCTCCAGGGGACCCCAAACCAGAGATTTGACCCCCCCTCCCCCCCCCCGGCCCGGAACGACCCTGGACCGAGCGCGCCAGGGCAGAGGGCCCCAAAACAGGTCAAGACGGTCCAAGAGAACCCACAGATCGCCGAAGACGCCCAAGATGGCCCCAAGACGCCCAAGATGGCCCCAAGACGGCCCTACAGGCCGCCGAATCGCCCCAAGAGGCCTCCAAGAGGCGTCCAAAGAGGGCCCCAAGAGGCGACAAGTATTGATTTTCTTTTGTTGTTTTTTCGATGTTTTGGGGTGTTCGACCTTTCGGCTTTCCGCTGCTCCAAGACCGCACACGACGGCCCCAAGACCCCTCCAAGACGGCCCAAGATGCCCCCAAGACAGCCCAAAAAGGCACCCAAACGGCCCGAGGGGCTCTCAAGACGGCCCAAGAGGCTCTCAAGACGGGGCCCAGAAAGGCCCAAGATGGGGACCAAGAGCTGACACATCTGGCCTTCCGCCCCAAGACGCGCACAGGAGGCCCCACGAAGGCCCATATAGGCACCAAGAGGCCCCAAAGAAGCCCCAAAGACAGCCCAAGAGGCCCCCCGACAGGCTTAAACGAGGCCCCAAAACGGCCTCCAAGACGCCTCGAAACTGCCGACCAAAAGGCACCCAAGAGGCCAACCACGAGATCCCAACCAATATACATGAGGTTTCTGACCCACCACCCAGGCGCGGTGGCGGGCCCAAGAGGGTCCGAGAAAAAACCCAAGATAACCCCAAGATGACTCCAAGAGACCTTCGAGAAAGCGCTTCCGAAGCAGTTGTTCCACTGCGTCCTTCTCCCGTTACCGTCAGCACCATCAGCAGCACTGGTAACAGCACCACCACAACCACAAGCAACAGCACTAGGAACAGCGACAGCGCCAGCAGCACCACCACCACCATCAGCAGCACCATCCGCAACACCAGCAACAGCACTACCACCTACACTGGCAGCAACATCAGCAGCACATTCGGCAGCAGCAACAGCAACAGCAACAGCAGCAGCAGCAGCAGCAGCACCAGCACCACCAGCAACAGAAGAGCAGCATCGACAGCACAAGCAGCATCACCACCACCATCAGCTCCAGCACAAGCACCAGCACCAGCTGCAGCACTACCACCGGCACCAACACAGCACCAGCAGCAACACCAGCACCAGCTCCGGCAACGCCACCACCACCGCCACCAGCATCAGCGCCAGCAGCAGCAGCAGTGCCAGCAGCAGCGGCAAGACCACCAGCCGGCCGCGCGAACCCTTTCGCTACCACAAATCTCTCAATTCGTCGTTGTTGCCCGCGTTGTTTCACCATGTGCATATGTTCCTCCCTTATCCCGTCAGCTCTCCCTTCTCCCGTCAGCTCTTCTGGGCATCGTTTTACGGATGGGCTACTGGGGATGCGCGGCGTGTTAAGAATTGTTTCTGGATGAGCTGGAAAAGATACGCGGGGCGTTGAGAGTTCATGGCTTCACGCGCCAAGCTCTGGAGCTTGGGCGCCGCACCACCCTCGAAGTACCCCCCTCCCCGCGCTCTCTCTCTCGCTATCTTAGCGCGCCCTGCCGTCCTGAGAGGCGGACGCGCGCTCCCTCAGAAGCGGCCCGCCTACATTCCTCCTCCTTCCTACTCCTCTTCCACCTCCTCCTCCTCCTCCTCCTCCTCCTCCTCCTCCTCCTCCTCCTCCTCCTCCTCCTCCTCCTCCTTCCATTCCTCCCCTTCCTTCCGCGTCCTTCTTCCATTCCTCGTCCGCCTCCCCCTCCCCTATCACCCTCTTGCTGCCATCGCCACCCCCAGAGCAATCCCGCTCCACCCCATAGCATGCGACGCGCTGCAGAACGGCACCCGAGCCCACGCGACAGGCAGGCCGCCCCGGAGACGCCACGCTCGTGACCAGCACTCGGGCGACGGGGCGCGGAGGTTGGTAGGGACCCCGACTTCCCTGGAGGACTAGGACTAGAAATAGCACCAGAACCTCGACATCGAAATCCCGGTCGAAGCTTCAGGCAGCCCAGAGAGAGCTCTGTAGGTCTGGAGGGCGAATGTTCAGCACTCTGGTGGAGGGTTGGGGGAACAGACAGGGCGGCGCGAGCGGAGCGCGAGCGAGCGGGTGGCACGACGCCCGACCTCCCCCGCCGGCAGGCCCACGCCAGCCGGGCCGAGGACCCGCCCGGCGCAGGGGGGGGGGCGGTCCCGCGCGGCGGCTCCCGCGGCGGCCCGCCGAAGAGCAGGGCGCCCGGCGGCAGCCATGGCGCCAGGCGCCCACGGCCCGACGACGGGGCTCCGACGATCGTCGGCGGCGAGCCCATGGTGCGAAAGGAGACAGGGGCGGGCCTTACGTCTCAACAGGCGCAGCAAGGCTCAGAAGGCCTCGGGCCTGCCAAGGAGTTCCCGGAGCCGTCCACGAAGACAACAGAAGCAAAGACCTTCCACGGAAGGCCCGCTTGGCTTCTGAGGGGCCCCGTCGCCTTCTAGCCTCCTCCTTCTCGCTTCCACCCCCTGCCACCGCTCGGACGTCCGCTCCCCATGCACTTGTCTTAAGTCGGGCGCGTCCCCCTACAGGGGGATTTTCGACGAAAAATATAAAAAGACAAAAATACTCCCAAATGGTCAGAAGTAGCCAAAAAATAGTCCCCATACTATTTTTTTACTATTTTTGAAAAGTCCCCCTGTAGAGGGACAGGCTCGACTCAACACTTGTCAGCTTTGAAGAGCGTTCTATTTCTTGCTGCTTCGGAAGGTTCTCCACACGATGCTCCTCGGCAGTCCTCGCTTCGAACGACATGCACACGTCGGGACGCTGCCCAACAGCCCGCGCTCGCCGCCGAGGTGGGCTTCCGACCACGGGTCCCCGACGGTGGGGCTCCGGCGGGGTGGTTGGGAGCGGTGGCTCCGCGCGCCGTGGGCTGGCGGCCCGGGGCTGGCGACGCGCGCTGCGCCCCGCGAGCGGACGGCGCGTCGCTCCGCTCCGCTCGGATGCTGCTCGAAGTGCCCCTGGCCCAAGGTGCCTCCAGCTTCTCGCTCCACTTTGGGGGCCCCTGGGGCCCTCTCGGCCTCGTGAGGGGTGCCCTGGAGGCCGTCTGGGCCACCCCGCTCCATTTTGGGCTCCTGGGGCCCTCTGGGCCTCGTGAGGGGTGCCCTGGAGGCCGTCCCCGTGAACCCTGGGGGTGCCTTGGGCCAGGGGCACTTCTAGCACCACCCGAGCCGTGGGGCGGTGTGCCGGGGACGACGCGAGACATGGACGAATGCGAGACATGGACGCTTCGGGACTGGGACGTGGATGCAGTCGGACCTGAGCCAGAATCCCATCCCTGAAAACCATGCGAAACCATGCGACCCTCCGCTGGCCAAAACACACAGAATATATCCGGGGGCACTACCCTCCCCAGGATGCACAGGAACATCCAACAAGCGCGCAGAACACAGGGGTGCCCTCCCCGATCCGATTTCGATCGTACACCTCGGTCCGACCGTAGCGTGTCGCGCCGAAGCGTGGTGGGCCAGAACTGCCGGTGCGGCACGCCAAGCCAAAATTCCTGACCGTAGGGCTCCGACTATGTGATGTGGTCACTCTGGCCTGTCTTCCTCGATGTCGGCCTCTGGGGCCTGTCTTGTCGGGCCCCAGGGCCACCAACGGTGGGTCCAGGGCGAAAAAACTGTCTCTGGGGAAGCGGTCGGGACCTCTCGTGCCGCAGATCGAAAATTTCGCCTCGGCAAATGTCAGGGTCCACAGGGCTCCCTTCCGAGCCCACTCGGCGTAGCGCGTGACCTGCAGTCCTGGCGTCGCATTTTTGTTTGCAACGGGCGAAATTGCCTTGTTTCGGGCCCCAGGACCCTCACGGATCGATCCGGCTCGAAATGTGCCGCAGAAATATAGGATTCAGGGCTCTGGCCGATTTTGAACACACTGTGAGGTTTGTCGTGACGTCGATTCAGGGCCCTTTTTTCGCCCACTCGACGTGTAAGCCCGTTCGGCCGCCGGATGGGCAGCCGAGCATGCTCAATTCCAAGAGGCTGGTGGGAATCTCGCCCGCAGTGGGCCTGATCTTGGGTCTATTCGGCGGCCGAACAGGGCTCAGATGCCGAGTTGGGCTGGGGATGGGGAGGGTCACCAAGTAGGCGTGAGCTGGATCGAGTCACGGAGCCGGGTCGGATCGGACACGGATCGGTCCGCCACGGGATCATCTCGAGTCGGATCGGAGTCGGACAGCCGCCAAGCTCCAGCTTGCCCCGGCCGGTGCCGATGATTAATCGAACCGAACCGAGTCGAGTAGGGATTGCGGCCCCACCCTGAGAATCGTATCGCATCGAGTCGGATCGTGGTCGGCCCCGCATGGAGAGGGGGCGAGCCACCCCCTCCAGTGGGCTCGCCCCCCAAGGCCCCCCGCAGGACACACCCCAGAGGGCTCCTCAGAGAATCAGGGCGCCCAGCAAAAAGACACGTCCAGAGCCTCCTCGATCCTCGACCCTCCCTCCTCCTGACTGGCTGGATGGAAGGCAGGGCGCTTCTTAGGAGGTCGCCGCGGTGGGGCGAAGAAGCATTCTTTCAAGGGCCTAGACCCCGCATGTTGGAAGAGAGCACCCGCAGCGGACTGGCGGCGCCGCTTCTTTCACAGAGGAGAAGCTTCCCGTGGCGGGGAACTGGCGGCGTCATGATCGACCCTCCTTCCTTCTCGACCTCCGATTTCCGGGAGGTGGCCCACCCTGGTGGTGACTCCCCTTGGCACTGCCCGAGACACAGCCAGGGGTCTGCCTGCAAGGCTCCCGCAGGAAACACCCCATCGGGCTCCACAAAGAAATCAGGGAGCCAAGAATAAACGCCCAGAGCCTCCTCGATCCTCGACACTCCCTCTTCCTCAATTCTGACTTCTTGGCGGAGGTGGTGGCCCCCACTGGTGGTGATTCCTCTTGGAAAACTGCCCGTGGCATGGCCAGGGGTCTACCCGCTGTGGCACTCGCCGTCGTCGTCGTCGTCGTCGCCATCGTCGTCGTCGTCGCCATCGTCGCCATCGTCGCCATCGTCGCCGTCGTCGTCGTCGTCGCCGTCGTCGTCGCCGTCGTCGTCGTCGTCGTCGTCGTCGTCGTCGCCATCGTCCTCGGAGAGGTCTTCGCCATCTCTTTTCATTTTTCTCTGGGGGGGGCTTCTGGGGGGGCACCGCTGGCACGGCTGAACTCAGCTCGAAGGACTCGTCAGGATGGTGCCCAGGAGGGGCCGATTTTGAGCGGCAGTGGTAGTCGTCGTCCTCCTCGCCTCGCCGAAGGAGGACAGGAGGGAACAACGACGACAAGGCGGCAACGGATCCTTCTCCTCCTCATCATCTGACGTGCTCCTTTATCATGTTCGCACTGACGGTCCTCCTCCTCCTCCTCGTCTACATCCTCCACCTGCTCGTGCACGTCTCCTTGTCACCATCGGGATCATCATCGTCCTCCCTCGTATCCCCGCCTCCCGCCCGCGATTCCTTACACTTGTAATACATGTCGTCCCTCTGGTCCTACTCCGCTCCCCCCTCCCTCTCCCTATACCCCTGCTCGTCCCCGCCATCTCTCCGACACGCACCTCACGGGGGTAAGGGAACCATGATCTGCCAGGCGCTGCTTACGTCGCATCCAAGAGCAACTGCGCTGGAGTGGTTCTGCTGCATTGAAGCAATCGCCTCCCGAATGGCTGCTGTCCTACATCACCCTCCATGCCACGCCATGCTTTAACCCGCAGGAGATCGCAACACCTGCACGCGTGCCCCCTCAACGCCGGAAAGTGCTTGTACCGCTGGTCTGTTTCTTCTCCTTGCGCAGGCTCTCCACGTACCTTAATGCAATCAGGCGGTGCATCGGAAAAGGCAAAGGAAAAACGAAGGAAGAGAAACAACAACATGGCAATGATACGCCTCCTCAGATAGATCCCTTGCTCCGTAGGCGCGTCAATCGTGCTGGAGTGGCCCCTATAAAGCAATTCGCAACCGTGCTCCCGACACACTGTGCGGGTTCAAATGCGTGCTAGGTGCCTGGTTCTTTTAGCTTTCTATAAGTCCCCCCCTGGGTTCCAAACGCGAACGTCAGACACCACCTTCCCTTTTAAGACTGCCCATGCCAGCCCTGGGAAGAAGCCACGATCAGACGGCCCTATCGCGATCTTACACAGGCCGGGAGATCCCCCAAAGGCTCCAAGACGTCCCCACGAGGCCAGAAGAGGCCTCACGAAGCCCTCGAAAAGGTGTCAAAGGAGGCGCCCGGCGAAGCCCTGGGAGGCCCAAAGTAGTAAACTCATGCTTTCGGAGTTCCACACAGAAGGATGTCAAGGGGACCACGGGATCTATGGCACACAAAATTAGCAACAAACAACACATAACAAAAATACATACGCACGGAAGGGCAGACGAAAACAAGGCGAGGAATCAGCAGGGAAGAAGAGGCTGGCTGTTTAGGACGCGCTCCCTCCTCTTCGTCCCATCCTTCGCTTTTAGGGGTCCAGGGAAAGGCAGGGGGTCGCTCTTGCGATCTCCTCCCTTCCTTTTGGGAAGGGGCTGACCTCATCTTATCCTCCCCCCTGGGTCTGAAAGAGCCCCCCCCTACGAGTGGTCAAAGGGCTCAACTTGGCCCAAGATTGCTCCGAAGGTGCCCAAAGTAGCCCAAAAGAGGGCACGACACCTGGTGAATAGTCCGGAGTCCGAATGCCCTGCCGCGGTCTGGCGGGGCCTCCCTGGTGTGGTGGGAGGGGCACGAAACCTAGTAATTAGTATGGTGCTCGAGTGCCCCGCCGCGGTGTAGCAGGGCCTCCATGGAGGGATGGTTCTGGAATGCCCTGCGGCGGTCACCCTGGAGAAATAGGAAGGGCACGACCCCTCGTAAATCATATGATGCTCGAGTGCCCTGCCGCGGTTCAGGCTCGCGGGGCGCGAGCCTGAATCAGGCCGACAAGATGGTGCCGAGTGACGGCGTGGCGGCTGGGAAGCGGAAAGGCCTCGATGGCGGTGGCCGGGCCGACGCGGTGTTGTCGGGCTTGGCGTCCTCGGCCGCGGCTGCACCCGCCCCTGCTGTCGAGGCGGAGGCTGCGGCCGATTCGGGGCTTGCCTTGTCCAGGCAGGGACCCACTCCCTATCGGGGAGCAATCGGGCTGGCGTTGCCTTGCCCAGGCAGGGGGGTGCTCCCTGTCGGGGAGCCGCTCGAGCGCGTGCCTGCGGCGATGCCCGACGCCGTCGGTGACGACAGGTTGAGCCTGCCTGACGACGAGTGGGCCGGCTCGGCTCAGCGGATGAGGCCGCCTCCACGGCCGCTGAAGCCTGCTGGCCGCGGGTCCCCGCCGCTCGGGTCGCGAGCTGTGCGGGCGCCTCGGAGGGAGGCGTGGCGTTGGTTCTCGGCGACGCGGGGGACGGCCACGTCACGATGGCCCTGGAGAGCACGGACGCGGTTCTCGGGGTTCCGCTGACCTCCCTGGCAGTGGTGCTGAGCTTCAGCGGAGGGCGCCGCCCAGCCGCCAAGTCGGGGTGGGGCGGCGTGGCGAGAGCTCTTGGGAGCAGGCGGCGGGCGCTGGCGGCATCTGGCGCTCCCGCAAGACATCGCGTGTCTTATCCTGCGAGTCGGATCGCCCTTGGGCCAGGTTATCCGTGCGATGCATGGTGCTGGGGGCTCCTGAGGGCCTCCCTCTGGGGGGTACTTTTGGGCCCGCGTGCTGGTCATCCATGCGATGCCAGCGAATCGCATTCCCTGTGGCCTTGGTGCGATCATGTTTGATCATCTTCCACATTTACCGTAGCAGCGTTTCGTGTTCCTGATCTCAATAAGTGTGGGCCTGAGTGCTCATTGGCCTCAAAATGTCTGGGGCAGGGCTGTGTGCGTCTCACCCATGATTCGGACGCTGTCACCTCGTTATTGTGACACCCACAAACACACGCACACACAAGTGTTGCTCGGCACCGTCGCGCGCAACGTGAACGCCGTTCCCAGTGGCGTGGCCCAGACAACATCGACTGGCCAGCCTCGACACCGGTCCTGCAGAGAACCGCTCGGCCAGGGGACGACAACGACCTTGCCCGCAGGATCTCACATTCGGCACCCACGCCCGCAGACGACGTCCGCAGGCTGCTGAGACGAGAGAGCAAAAGCCGCGCAAGCTTGGAGGCGACCGAACCAACCATGGCCAACCGAGCGCGGCAGTGCAGCAGTGCCAGATGCAGCGGCCGGAGCGTCAGCAGGGAGGACAGCCGGCAGCAGCAGACAGCCGATTGGAGGCCACCAGGAGAAGCCCAGATGCCCGTAGGTCCCGAAGGAGAGGTCAGGAAGTGCGAATGGTCCTCCCCCGCACACGCTACCACGAACACACTCTCACACACACACACAACCACGCAACACACACAACCACGAACCCCCCACCCCGATCTCTCCCATGCTCCTCGTCGGGCCCCCCGAACTCCCTCCAGTTCCATATCGCCCTGCTCCCACTTGCCACCCACACACCCCGTGAAGAGCACGGAACGGCAGACGGGAAGGGACAGGAGGAACGAATGGCGGGGAGGAAGAGGGGACGACGACGAGGAGGACGAGCATTAGGGGAAGGAGCAGGACGCGGAGCAGGACGAGGCGAAGCTACTCTCCAGGAGACGGAGGAGGGAAGGAGGATACGATGCACACACCATTAACGCCATGTGATCTCACTGTCCAGCGAATGGTATGCCCACTCTTGCTTGCAACATCGCGCGGCCGTGGGCCCCGAAAATCTGACAACACAGGCTAGGGGGGAGTGAGGAGTAGGAGGAGGACTAGTGTAACCGCACGACGCGTCAACTATGCTGCCATTCATCCTCCCTCCGAGTTCCTCCTAGGTCCCTGAAAGAAGGACTGTTACTTACGAGGGGGCCATTTTCAGACAATCGTCTGAGAACCCAAAATCGTGTCAGACCGCCACTCCTGAGACTTCCGGATCAACATGACTGTTGCGCCCTGACAATCCTCAAACGTGCCAGAGCACCATATCTGGGATTTCGCCTCCGCGAATCAACGTAACCGCTGCGTCCTCACAATCCTGAGTCGTGCCAGAACACCAATCCTGGGACTTTGACCATGCGGTTCAATGAAACTGCTGCAAACTGTTAAAACGAATGTCCGCGGCACTGAGGCGAGAACCACATTTCGAAAGCCACCCGACCTCCATCATTGAAACTGGTTCAAGCTGTTAACTTAACAACACGAATGTCCGCGGCACCACGGCGAGAACCACACTTCGAATACCACCGGCCCTCCATCATTGAAGCAGATTCAAACTGTTAACGCAAATGTCCGCGGCACTACGGCGATAACCACAATTGAACCAACAATCCGCCCTACATCCGGGAAGCAGTAACACTCGTCAAGCTTCAAGATCATGAATGGTGAGGATGTCTCTCCGTCCAAATGCCCAGCCCACCCTACCGACACGTCTGGGGGTGCGACAGGGAGGTAGAGGAATCGTGGAGAAGGAGGAGGAGGAGGAGGAGGAGGAAGGAGGAAGGAGGCGCAAGAGGGGAGGAGGAGGAGGAGGAGGAGGAGGAGGAGGAGGAGGAGGAGGAGGAGGAGGAGGAGGAGGTGCAGGGGCGTCCGTCCGACGAGGTGCTATCGGGAGAGCTTGGCGAGGAGGGGGGAGGAGAGGAGGAGGAGGGGAGGAGGAGGAGGAGGAGGAGGAGGACGACGACGAGGACGAGTACGAGGGGAAGGAGGAGGAGGAGGAGGATGAGGAGGAGGAGGAGCAGCAGGAGGAGCAGGAGGAGAGGAGGAAAACCAGCATAAAATGAGGAGGAGCAGGAGGAGGAGGAGGAGGAGGAGGAGGGGAGGAGGAGGAGGAGATGAGGAATGGGGGGGCAGGGGAGGAGAAAGAAGGGGCACCTCTCGATCTCCGCGCTCTCCTCCTCGCCGTGCGAGAAGGGGCAGGCGGGCCCGCGCACGCAGCTCCCCTGGGCGGAGGGCGCCGCGACGGGGGAAGCACCGCCTCTGCTGCTGAAAGGGCACAGGGATGCACAACCAAGTGGCATGCGTGCTCTGGCTCTCGCACACGTGAGGAGGAAGGAGGAGGAGGGGGAGGAGGAGGAGGAGGAGGAGGAGGAGGAGGAGGCGCAGGTGGGGGGAATCGAGGAGACCAGGAGGAGGAGGAGGAGGAGGAGGAGGAGGAGGAGGCTGAGGAGGGGAGGAGGGGATGATGATGATGATGATGATGATGATGATGATGATGATGATGATGATGATGATGATGATGATGATGATGATGATGATGATGATGATGATGAATGATGATGAGAGAGGAGGAGGAGGAGGATGATGATGAGGAGGAGGAGGAGGAGGAGGAGGAGGAGGAGGTGGGGGGATTGAGGATACCAGGAGGAGGAGGAGGAGGAGGAGGAGGAGGAGGAGGAGGAGAAGCAGGGGAGAGGAGGAGGAGGAGAGGAGGAGGAGGAGGAGGAGGAGGAGGAGGAGGAGAGGAGGAGGAGGAGAGGAGGAGGAGGAGGTGGGGCCAGGGCACCCTGGTGCTGAATCAGTGGGGGGCAGGTGGGGCCAGGGCACCCCGGTGCTGAATCAGTGGTTGTCGATTGGGACCTGTGCTCGAATGAGTTTTTAAGACAGCTGAGGCGCGGTAGATTTTTCGATGCTGGGCCAGGGGGGGAGGCTGGGTCAGGGGACGGGGCCAGCGGAGCGAGAGGGGCTGGGCCCAGGACCAGGGGGGCAGGCTGGATCCAGTGCCAAGACCAGGGGGGCGAGGGGGGCTGGGGCCAGGTCCAGGGGGGGAGGCTGGCTCCTGGGCCAGGACCACGAACGAAAACAAAGGTTCCGGCGCGAGGGGGGCTGGGGTCAGGGCCAGGGGAGGAGGCTGGGTCCAGGGCCAGGGGTACGACGACGAGCGAAAATGAAGGGTCCAGCGAGAGGGGGCTGGAGCCAGGGCCAGGGGAGGACGCTGGGTCCGAGGACAGGACCAGAGGGGCGACGACGAGGGGGGCTGGGGCTAGGACCAGGGTGGGGCCAGGACCAGGGGGACGACGACGAGCGAAAATCAAGGGTCTGGCGCGAGGGGGGGCTGGGGCCAGGGCCAAGTGAGGAGGCTGGGTCCATGGCCAGGGCAAGTGGGGCGAGGGGGGCTAAGGCCAGAACCAAGGGGAGAGGGGGCGTTGGCTGGAGGCCAGGGTAATGCGGAGGGGGCGTGTGGAGGGGGTGGCGTGCCGAAATGACTAGGTCGGGGCGGAGGGGGCGCGCTGGCCGGTGGGCGGGGCGGGCTGGGTGAAGCTGAGGTGGCGAACGGGATGGGGGGTCCTGTACCGTGCCGAAATAAAGTTGTCAGAGCTCTAGACACCCTGCGCAAAATAATGAAAGAGTCGAGGAGGGGCTGGCTGTGCGGAGGGGGCGCGCTGGCTGCTGGGGGAAGGGGGGGCGTTGCACTGCAGCAATAAAGCGGTAGGGGCGGAGGGGGCGCGCTGGCTGGCAGGACCGGTGCCGTGCCGAAATGAAACAGTCGGGGCGGGGGGGGCGCGCTGGCTGCTTGGGCCGCTGCCGTGCCGAAATAAAGCGGTCGGGGCGAAGGGGGCGCGCTTGGGTCGAGGCGGACGGGCTGGCTGCGCGGGAAGTGCGGGGGGGGGAGCGGTGCCGTGCCGAAATGAAGAAGTCGGGGCGGAGGGGGCGCGCTGGCTGGTGGAGGAGGGGGGCGGTGCACTGCAGAAATAAAGCGGTCGGGGCTGAGGGGGCGCGCTGGCTGGTCGGGTGCGCGCCGTGCCGAAATGACACGGTCGGGGCGGAGCGGGCGCGCTGGCAGGTGGATAAAGAAGTCGGGACTGAGGGGGCGCGCTGGCTGGTGGGGAAGGGGGGCGGTAGCGTGCCAAGCTAAAGGGGTCGGGGCGGAGGGACCGCGCTGGCTGGTGGCACCGGTGCGATGCCGAAATAAAGCGGTCGGGGCGGGGGGGCGCGCTGGCTGCTTGGGCCGGTGGCGGTCGGGGCGGAGGGGGCGCGCTGGGGTCGAGGCGGAGGCGCTGGCTGCGCGGGGGGTGCGGGGGGGGCGGTGTCGTGCCGAAATAAAGAAGTCAGGGCGGAGGGGGCGCGCTGGCTGGTGGGGGAGAGGGGGCGGTGCGCTGCAGAAATACCGCGGTCGGGGCGGGGGGGGAGCGCGCTGGCTGGTGGGACCAATGTCGTGCCGAAATAAGGCGGTCGGGGCGGAGGGGGCGCGCTGGGGTCGAGGCGGGGGGGCTGGCTGCGCGGCGGGTGCGGGGGGGTGGGGGGGGCGGTGCCGTGCCGAAATGAAAAAGTCGGTGCGGAGGGGGCGCGCTGGCTGGTGGGCTGGCTGCGCTGGCTGGCGGGGGAGGGGCGCTGGCTGCTTCGGCCGGTGCCGTGCGGAAAAAAACAGTGGGGGCGGAGGTGTGCGCTGGGGGGGTGCGCTGGGAGGTGGGGGTCTAAGGGCTGCATCGACAGGCGCCGTGCCGAGACAAAGCCGACGGAGCTCAAGACACCCTGTGCAATAGAATGATGATACACAAATCCCAAAATTCCGTCTCTTTTCTATATATTGTCTGGACTTCTGTCCCCCCCTTCACTTCAAATGTGTTCTGATACTTTCTTTGGAATCGACCATTATTTGTGTCTGTGCGTGTGTATCCCCCTCCTGAACTCTCGCGCTTCCAAAAGATCCGGCAGCAACTCCTGTAATGTCTTCGCCGGCACGACTACGGTTGGGATCTTTGGCGCAGCGAGTCCCCCGTGCGGCCCCGGCGGCAAGCTACGCCCTGCGAGCGGATACCGTGTCGTTCCGCTCCGCGGGCCGGGAGGCCCGGAAAGGCTCGGGACCATGGGGCCTGGGGGCTGGGAAATGGACAACGTGTCGCGGCGAACCGTGGTGGGCCAGAACCAACGGAGCGACACGCGGTCCAAAAGTCCTCAACCGTCGGGCCGATTAAACCCGATTGAGGGGGCCATCCAGCCGAATCAAGCCAAGCCCGCCCCAGAATAAACAAGATCATGCCCAGGATTCAGCCCTGGATTGCACTGGACGCAACGGGATCATACATAATCAAGTGGAGCCGTGTTTGATTGGGCTGGTTGTGTGTATGGGGTTGAAGTACAAGAGTACAGAACCCCTGATCCGTTGGTAGAGAGATGGAGGGATAGATGGATATCTTTCCCTCCCAAGCGATCAAGGTACGATCGCTCCAACTCAGTACCTGAGCCCAAACGGCCAGGTGCGGGAGAGGTAAGGATAAGGAGTATATATGAGGGTATTACACGGGTTCCACACACACCCCCCGTCCCGAATCCCGCCCGTGAAGGCAGGACTCGGGATCAGGAGGATGGAATCCGTAACCTCAGAACTCCTTTACCTTAAGTCTGAAAAGGCAGCTGGGCTAAAAGTCAGCGAAGCCACAGCTGCAAAGTGAGGTAAGAAGAGATACCTTGGGTCTCTTTTTCTTCTCCAGGCGGTCTTTGCCGCCCCCTCGGTGCGCCCCCCAAAACGCTTCGGCACTCGAGGGAGGAGAAGAATGAGACAAAGGTAGGCGGAGAAAGAAGATCTGAGCACCAAGGCAACGTAAACCGCCTCGCAAGATTTGCGAGGCAGGTGTTGCCACCAGCTATCAGATTATTCTCGACGCAATATTGCTAAATTGTTAAAAATATGCATGCTAAGATCGCGTTGACGAACACAATCTTGAAATCAAACACAAGTCTGCCTAAAAGCGAATGTATGCCAAGATCGCGTTGACGAACGCGATCCTGAAAGAAATGCAAATCTGCGTTAAAGCAAGTACCTGGCCAGGAGAAAATGTCGTGTTGATGAACACGAAAATGATGTATAAAATCTGTTTGGCGACTCCCGTTGGCGTTGCTCCTTAGGAGGCTGCCTCGGTGATCGCAAAAGATATCTATATGTGTGCATGGCCACTTGTGTGAAATATTGAAGTGGCCTAAAAGAATGTATTAGCCACCGCTCAAGGCGAACTTTGATGAACGGAAGTTCTGCTCTTGAGCAGTGGACCTTGCGGCCGACTCACTACGCGTCGCCGTCCTTGTAGAACCTGCGGTCCCACACCCTCTGGCCGTTGTACGTCACATAGCTTGTCGTAAACGTTTCCCAAGTGGTCCTCGGGATCCAGTTGCGGAACCAATCGTTGTACGTGATATCCTGGATGTACACATACTCGTCGTTGTTGATCGCAATGTAGATCCAACATTTGATGTAATAACTCCAGTATCGAAGACCCCAATCGCTGTCCTCGAGATTGTGGCGCCAGTAAGCAGCGTAATCAGATGTACGTGCTCTCTTGGCGCGCGGCATCGCGGGCATGTAGTCCTCTGCGCCTGAGGCGCTGGATGCAGCGGCGTCGCCAGGAGCAGGGCGCGGCGGCGGCCGCGGCGGCGGCCGCGGCTCCATGGCGTCATCGGACTGTTGGGAGTGTGTATCTGGATCGGTTCTCATCCCTGTACTACCCCCCCTCTGGTCAGTGTGTGACGGATCGAGGGGGCCTATCAGCTCGTTGGCAATCGCGGCAAGCTTGCGCTGGGTGAACTGTTCACGGGTTCCGTCCCCTCGAGGGAGAGAAACCGTAATCAGTCCGCGCGCCTGCCGCGTCTGCCCGTCAATGCGTCCCTCGTTCAGCCACCACTTTCTCCGACCAGCCTGTCCTGTCCTAATACTGACGTCAAGGATGTCCCACGCGTCGCGCATGTCCTCGACTCTCCAGGGCTTCTTGCCGACATTCACGCGGGCTCCTGTCATCTGATGATGGAATCTGAGGTCGTTGAGAAAGCGTTGAATGAGATTGGCGTATGGGTAGTACAGAGGTCGGTCGTCCTCGGATTCGCCCATTAATCTGCATTCGTGTGCAGGCGGGCTACCGGCTTCGACCCACTTCTGATACCTCTTCTTGGACGTATTGGCCAATCTCCGCAACTGATCTTTCTCTGTGCCTATGGGGGATCGCGCACCCGT